GAAGACCCAATTTGAGATAAATCGCAACCAAAGCTTTCTTTTAATGTATTGCCATCATATGTATACACATAGAACATTCACAACCGCATTACTACATTCAAATCCAAAATACATGTACAGATTGGGGTGCGCTCCACTTTCCCTGATGATGGAAATAATGTTGGGCTACTCTTCACTTACTCCGATTCTGATGGCAAGATAAAAATTCGTAGCCGCTGAAAATTTTGACTCATTGAAATTGCACTGACATTCTGCATCTATTTATTATAAACGTACTGTATTGGCCTTGGATCTATGATGTGGTACATGTCTAACTGAAGCTTGTAGGATGTGTCATTTCTATTTGTTAAACTTTCTCTTGATGGCTAAACTTTGAATTAACTCCATCTAGAAATCAGCAACGAACTGAGAAGCTGCACAACTCTCCAACACTGCATGAAGAAGTTATGTTAGGAAATAACACCTAATCCAAAGATTTTGAAAGCTTGTTTATCGTATTAGAAATTCCCATATTTTCAACGGAAAGAATCATATTATTCTCATCATTAAGTTGCAATTATTTGGGTTTTTAGCTTTGAGAATCTTCTTTGCAATTCAAAATGCTAAGTGCTACATGTGGCGGAGATGTAGACCCACAATTTTGATTTTGTTATATCAACAATAACAACGGCAAGCTTTTATCTCGTTACGTGGGGTCGTCTACATGAAACCTTTTTCTCTATTGTGTCATATTAAGAGTCAAATTCTCCTTTAAACCTAATAAAAAAAGACATCTCTAATACTTTTTTTAGGTCTACTTCCACCTCTGTCTTTCTTAACATAAGCTGAATCTTAATACTTCTACTCTCCTAATAGAGTCATCAAAAGGTTGATATTTCATGTGACCTAACCATCCTAGTCGACTCTCTAATTTTATTTGCCACTGGAGCTACTATAACCTTGTCATGTATATACTCATTTCATATTCTATCTCTATGTGTAAAGCCACTCACCCACCTGAGCATCCTCTCCTCACCTCTACAACATTTAACTTAATTTTGTGCTTCTCTTATAATGTCCAACATTCTGTGCAATAAAACAGTGCAGGTCTCACCACTGTCTTATAAAATTTTCCAATTAGTTTGAGGGGGTTCTTTTCTACCACATAGTAGGCTTGATGCATTCTTCCATTTCAACTATCCAACATGAATTCTATTAATAAATTTTACATCTATTTCACCATCACTTTCAACAATAGACTTGAGATATCTACAACGTGCTTTCTTTTTGATGACTTGATCACCCGATGTCACAATCCCACCACTAAATCTTTTACTATTAAAATTACACTCGATGTATTCAATTTTAAATCTACTCAAATAGAAACCTACTCTAAGGTTGATCTCCATAATTCAAGTTTTTTATCAACTCCCTCTCTTGTCTTATCAATAATAAGAATATCGTAAACAAAAAGCACACAACAAGGTACATCCTCTTGCAAATGACTAGTTAGAACATCCATGACTAAATAAAAAGATATGGGCTTAAAGTTGATCCTTGATATGATCCAATTGAAATAAAAAAATGCTTGGTGAAACCATCTTATGTTTTAACTTAAGATATATCCTTAATGATTTAAATATAAGCATTATTTAAAAGTTCGTCGGAGATATTAAGCCTTTATGAAGTAGTCCCAATACTAACCAAGAGGGGGGGGGTGTGAATTGGTATTTAAAAATTTCTCCAAACAAACAAACACAACCAAACAATCACCACATAAATTAAATGCGAAAAAATAATAAGAAAGAACACACCATATTTTATAGTGGTTCGGTCAACTTGACCTACGTCCACTCCCCGGAGCCTCACCTCCGGGTATTGCACTAAACTCAGTGTCTCTCCTTTTTTTCCCACAACAAGGCGGAGAATCCCGTACAAAAACTTCTTTCTACCGACCCTGGTGAGGCAGAGAACCCAACTCCTTTTGCTTCCTCCTCAAGCAGGCAGAGAACCCAACTCCTTTTGCTTTCTCCTGAAGCAAGCAGAGAACCCAACTCATATTGCTTTCTCCTGAAGCAGTCAGAGAACCTCGATCAGTTGCTGAAGTAGACCTCTCTCGAACCTCCAAGGAACCAGGGATGACGATCGGAGAAGACGATTCAGATTCTTGCTTGGAGCAACCTTTGTGAAACCTCTCACAAACTCCCCCTCACAAGATCCTCTCTCTATCTCCCTTGCTCTCTCTCTCCTTTTGGCTCCTCAGGTCAGGACAGTAGCAAAAAATACCCTCTTGAGAAAACAAGAGATCTTTTAAACAAGGACTCCAAATTTTCCCTAATTTGCAACTAATCATCAAAGTTCGTCTGATGTAGTCAAAGGGGGGGTCAACTCAAACCCAAAATAAGTTGGTTTTGACTTCCCTTGAGCTTACTAGCTCTATAAATTTTGAGCTAGAGATTAGTTCATTTATGAGCTGATTTTTAGTTCATTTATTGAACTAAAGGTTAGCTCATTATTAGCTAAGTTTTAGTTCATTAGTTATCTTAATTATGTAATTTTTATTTATAGTCTTTATGTCTTAAATTTAAGTTTGTCTCCTGGGATTCCAAAATGGCTTTTGGAATCCAAGGTTGTTTGTTTTCCCGTGCCTTAACTCCTTGGCTTCCACGGTTGGCTTTTCCCGTGGCTTGGCTCCTTGGTTCCCACGGTGGGCTGCTGGTTTTCCGAGCTGGGGGCCTTTCCGTGCCTTTTGGCGCCTCGGTTCTGTGCGGGACTCTTTGGTTCCGTGGCTGCTCCTTCAGTTCCCTGGCCAGGTTGTTTTCCTGTGAAAAACTGGGGGCTTTTCTGTGGTTTGTGGTTCTTGAATTCCCAGGAATTCAATCAAGTGTTTGTTTGTATTCCCCTTTCATACCTATAAATATGAGGGGTTTTGTAATGCTTTAAAGAGAGTGATATATGAATTTTTGAAAAGAAATCCTTGGGATTTTCTTGGAGGAGCTTGCAAGCTTTGTCCACCTTCTTCTTCCACCTCTTTGAGGAGACTTGCGAGTTCTTCTCCACCTTTCTTCTCGGGCTTCTAATCTCTTTCGTCTCTCCGCAAGTTTACACCCCACCTGTATCCTTCTTCTCAAGTAAAGCAAGTTTAGGGCATTGTTAATTTTTTTTAGAGTCAAGTTTGTAAGAGTTCAAGTCCTATTTTGTAAGTCTTTTAATTTCTAAGTCTTTCTTTATTTGAAATGTAAGAGTTTGTTCGTTTTATTATGTAGGAGTCCCCTTTCTTTTCTTCGGGCCTACTCTTTGTGGGCAGAGGTCCTCTAGCCCCCCATCCCCTGGATTTTTGCCCGCATCATCGTCTTGTACTATAAGTTCAAATTTAGCTCAATCAAATAGGACGATTTGAGAGAGTCTGGACGATTAGAAGGTTCATTTGTTCAGATCGTCCAGGATGATAATATATCGTCTTATACGATTAGTTCAAGTCGTTGAATACCGTCCAGACCATCGCACTGGATCTGGACGATGAAAAAGTAACTTGATCGTCCAGGATGATCTCACGATTGTTCGGGCCGATTAGTACAAAACGTCACTATCGTGTGGGCCGATTGATACAAATCGTCACATATCGTCCAGAATATCGCCCTGGATGAATGTTTGGATGATGAAAAATTAACTCGATCGTCCGGGACGATTAGTACAAAACATCACATATCGGCTAGAACATCGCCTTGGATGGAGCCAGACCGATTATGGATCGTCCAGGAAGAACTAAGGTATGTTTAACTAATCGTCCAGGACGATATGATCGAGCAATCAAACCTTAATTGCATTCTTTAATTATCAAACTAATTTAGGCATAATTGTAGTACATCGTTCAGGACGATGTCCAAAAATAAAACTTGCCTAAAAGGATTTGGCGGCTGATTCTTTCATATTTGATCCTATCGTCCTGGACGATGATAATATCGTCCAAGACGATTTGCTTAATTGCGGCTGCCTTAACTAGGATGTCCTAATTAGGGTTTCTGTTTTTAACTGATCGTCCAGGACGATATAGAATCGTCCCGGACGATATGATTGAAAACAGAAAACTCTAAAACAATCAGAATTTTTCTCCCAAGTGTATGTGTGCAAGGTTACTTAACATCAAGACCCACATTGTTACAATGGACACAAGAAAAGGTAAAAGACACTTGACGTACATTACAAGCTGACTCAGTTCTAATCTACTCAATCTTGAGTTGGTTCGATTTGCATTTTGATCTTGTGGACCTGAAACGTTAGTAGGCAAAGTAGTCGTAGAAAAACATAAGTAACAGAAATGTTTGCTACCATCAAAATTATAATTTTTGAAGCCAGATTCGCAACATTATTAACTTCTTTTCTAGAACTCTTCTGATCACTTTTCTTGGAATTTTTTCATATGTTTTCTCTAAATTAATAAATATCATATGTAGAATGAGAAAATCTGTTTGATCATGAGTTTTTTTGTTTATGCGCTGGTTATTCTAGAGAGTGCTAAAAATGTGAAAATTTTTGCCAAGAAAGAAGTCAAAAGACTCCAAATGACTATTTTATCCTTATCTTTTGCATTAGTGACAAAAAAATAAAAGCTGTTTTATAATCATCTAGAGTCCGTTAGCTTAAGTTAAAACTTTTTATACTCTTTAGCATTTCTTGATTGTGTATTGTAGACATGCAACAGGATATACATAACATGCGTATGGCTGACAACTGTCAATACCTACTGAGTTTGTGACTCAGAAATTAATTATTTCCAGAAAACTTTGATGAATCGACTGATTCACTCAGCTTGTCTTCTGAGTCAGCATGATATATTTTTTTCTGGTTCAATTTCCGTATCTTAAACCTATGATGCAGAACACTGTTGTTTGAATTTCATTTATTTATTCATTCTTCTATCCCCACTTTGATTGATGGGTTCTTTTTTGTGCCGCATGATTTTTTATGCACAATATCATTTGTTGATGCAGTGTCAATTTGTTATGTAACTTAAATTGTAGATTCAGCTAAAGGAGAAATTGACACCATAGAAGGAGCTGAGCGTGAACTTCTACTGGCTGAGGAAGAACTAAATGTTGCAGAGGCTGTATGCCATTCTATTTCCATGCTCCGTATGTTTGTTATTTTTATACTTTTATTCCTACATATATATATATTTGTATTCCAGGAGAAAGCCCATTACGAGGGAGTAATGCAAAACAAGGTACTGCATGATATTAGGGAAGCAGAAGCTTACCTATCTGAGCTGCAGCGCATTCATCAGGTTGAAGCTTTTCCTTCAATGTCAAAATGTTGAACGGTTGCATTTCATCTTTGTTTGCTTTACATTTCCTTCACTGCTGAACTTCTAATCAGCAGCAATTTAAATTATTTTGCTCGTCTATCATTTTATTGGCGTCCTACTGATTCTCAGACATCAGGGTTGCTACAGAATTTTTACATTAATGTCCATAACTTGAGTTCTGATGAACTTTCACTCTCTTAGAATGCATTTCCTACCATTCATATGAATTATACCCACTGCATAGGAACTATGGACCTGACTTAATACTATGAATAAGCAGCATTTTCCTCTCTTTGATACTTTCATTAATTATAAACTTGATCTTTGACTTTTTTAATATAATTGTCTTTTTTTTTACATAAATGACCTAGTTGTTACTAAGTTTACTGTATTTTCATTTTTTGCTATTAGTTTTTGAACTGCTAGAAATTCAAATGAGTTATTCTGAAAGGATGTTGGATTCCATGGATCTTGAATTAAATTATGATCCATAGTTTGTTATAATGACCTATTTATACAGTGTTAAGCGTTTGCTTTCAGTTATCTGCCTTGAGTCTTTTTTTGTTTATGTCAGTTTAGTTGGCATAGTTTAATTTCATGTTTGTTTCATTGTCCTTATTTATCATTGTTAAAAGAGAGAATTATAAAAGACTATCTCTTTATAAAATTGTCTTTTAGTACAAACTTATATGTTCCTATACATAGACAAAAGAATAAAACAATAAAGAAAAGTAGAATAAAGGAGAATATCCTAAATATTGAGAAAATTTAACAATAATAAATTTTTTATATTTCTATTATAATAGTTAGCACATATGATAATTTTTATATAATCACACTCCATTGCAAACTCAAGTTGGCATTGAAGTTGTCGACTTCAATTTGAAAATTGTAATGATTATAGATGAACTAGATGAAGTTTTTTTTTTTTTCTTTGGAGATTGTGAGTGTCCAAAGACGTTGTGATCTATTCATGAAAGAGAGTAGTGTGAATTTGATGCAAAGAGTTGGCCACTAGATCCATGCCACAGAGGGTACGAACAAGAATCTTGAATGGGAGTATCAATCGTGAGTGTTGACAGGGAGTATTGTTAGAGAGAGTTAACAAAGAGCATCAAGTATTGACAGAGAGCATTAACGCAATGAGGAGAAAATTCGTTAGCACATTCACAACTTGTCAACAAAGATTACAAAGGAGCATATATTTGTGAGAAATAAAGCATATCAAGTGCCTCAGTGGTTGATGATTGTATGAGTAGTTTGGCAAGCAATGAATTTTGATGGCTTTGATACCATGTTAGGTGAGGGAGAGAGAATTGCCAAGGACTACATATTTACTGAATTATCATTTTGTATGAGCATTGTATGTGCCTTTATAGGTAAACGAAGAGAATAATAAAGAAAATACAATAAAATAAAATATCCTTAATAATGAGAAAATATAGAATGCTAGATAGTTATGAAGCATGAACAATTCCAAATGGTTTCTGTATCCGTGTCAAACACGGACGGACAAGACTTCAACATGCCTCAGCACATGTTCGATACTTCATAAAGTGTTGAAGTTCTTTTATTGTGAAATCAATGGATGAGAAGCACCGAATGCGGCAGAACACATGTGGGACATATGTAGGACCTCTGCAGGACACACAGAACTCAATAATGGAACTTAAAATTGAAATTTGGAAATAAATGACACTTGTAGTATTACATACATTAGTTTCCTTGGCCTCTCAAATGATCGTGTCTATGCCTCTTCTTCTCATGATTTCACCTCTCAGTTTAGCGAAGTCGTTTCATGTCTCTACTTTTTCGGCTACTGTCTTGCATCTCCATCATCTTCTTGCGTGTTCGCCTCTTCAGCGGTCCTCTTGCATCTCTTCATTTTCATCTTCAAAGCTGAAGGCAACCAAAGATGATCGTGCATAGACTAAGAACTTTGATCAAAGCGGAAGGCATTCCGTGCAATTTAAAGTTGTATTGTGTCGTGATCTTCAAAGCCATCTTCAAACCCAAATCCATGCCCTTCATAGCTGAAGTTGAAGTTGTGGTGTCCTAGCCAGCTATATCATTGAAATCAGGTCTTTGTCATTCCATCCTTTTCTTAATCAGTCAATGTTACTAAAATAATAAATATAGAATTGAAAATAAACCTTCTCAAATAAGGGTAATAGAATTCCGTTGGGCATGATTATAATTATCTTAAACTTAATTGGGCTTAGAATGTCTTTAACTCTGTGGCTAATATTAGAAATAATAATGTTACAAGATATAGGCTTAGAGTAGAAATTTTTAATGCATTATAATGCATAATATAAATTAGTCCGAAAAACTTGAGGATTAATAATTCATAAGTTATCAATTAATTCAACAGTTTATTTTCTTTAAATAAAAGCAAACAATATTATAATTAGAATCCAATTAAATATAAATTGTTTTCGTCTATCTGTTTATTCTTTTAAGATGCATATTCACGCTGATGTCAATGCTACGGCTAGTCTCAGAATTTTTCTTCCGTTTTCCTACCATACGTCGCATGTATGCAATCACGCCCACTTCTGCAAATGCTTTCACACATGCCCACATGGGCACATAAATAAACTGCTGCAAGAACAATGCGTTAGCAGATTTGCTCTTTCGGTTTTAACACATTGAGCATTAGTTCTTGTGCCATAATGTATGATCCTTGATGTTAAATGACAGATTTGAAAAGCTTCCTCGTGTTCACTGGCAATATTCTTTGAACATGACCTTAGACAACATATTTTGATAATAGGAACTGGGTCTGTTCTGAAAGATTGTCTGTTTCTCATACACTGACTTGTGTTTATCTATAAATTCAACTTTTCATGTTATCTTTTAATGTGTGGTAATATCTCTCCTGGTTTGCTTGTGTTTATCTATGAATTCAACTTTTCATTTTATCTTTTTTTTGGTATCTCACCATTTATTTTCACTATTTTTTAATTACAAGTACTTATGGAATCGCAGGAGAATTTTAGAAAGGCTTCCATTATTTGCCCGGAACATGAAGTGATGGCTTTAGGAGGCTGCTCTGGGAGCACACCAGAGCAGCTGAGTGCCAAATTGAACAGATTAAACCAGAGGCTGCTGCAAGAGAGTCGGAGGTGTGCATGCGATTGAAAATAGTTCTTTGGATGCTATATCTCTCAGTTTCAGTCATCGACTTTAATATGCATGCAGATATACAGAATCCATTGATGATCTCAGACAGATGCATGATAAAAAGGAACGTAAAATAAGTAAAAAACAGCGAACGTATGCAGCTTTTCGTGAGAAGTTAAATGTAAGTTATTAGTTCTTTTTATTTGTTTTTTGATGTTGAATATTCTATATTTTAAGTGGCTTTTTGGCTTTCTTAGAGCTAATGCTAAATGTTCAACCCCACACTTTCATGTGTACTGCTATTGTTTCACAATCCATTGTTTGCTAGTTGTTATCTTCCGAAAAAAATGATTGATATGATGAGGCTTAACTATTGCATTTATGTGGACTTCATTGTCATAGTTTGATTGACTCCCGGGAAGATAAACTTTAACAAAAAATAGAATTTAGAAAACAATTATTGATTGAATTACCTAGGTATTCCAAACGTGGACATAGATTAATATTACATTGTTGTAACATTCCCGGGTATCTTAATAAAAAATTTGGGGTCTCATCTGCCATGCCACTCTGAAGGTTGAAACTTGTAGGTTTGATCTATTGTCATCATTTACTTTAAAGCAAAGGTTATGCCTTAAGTTTGAGCCTAATCTATCTTGATTTCATAAAATTTGATTTCTCAAGTGTTGCAGAGTTGATAAAAAAAAAAGAGCTGTAATAGCTTGCAACAAACAAATCATCATGAGAGAAAAGGAAATTAAAAATGTGTAGACTCTGAAAATTCCCATATGAATTTGCCATATATTTTTAGTAATTGAGGTTAGTTTTATGCAAACAAATGAATATTACAAAAGGCGTTACTTAGATATTTCGCCATATTGTGAGGATTTTATGATTTGGTTCGAGATTTTTAATAAGTGCAAACTAATATGATTAATTAACGCTTCAATTGTGAGAGAGAACTTTCGATTTATGCTAGTATAAGGCTTTGAGATATTTTACTTTAATAGTAATTTAGATAGTAGATAACTATATTATTATTGAATCAAAGCAAATTTCTGGGAACGCTAATAAATCCAACCAAGATCCCATTGTTCTTTGATCATTGATTGACCTAAACTTTGGTTTACACGGTCAGCAGAGGTAGTTGACCCAACCTAGTTTGAAAATTCTTGCCAATAAATATGGGTTGTGCTAGTCAATGCATCCTTAATAGACCTAAGGGGGAAGCTTATTGATGGTGCAATTTTAATCCAATCTTGGCTAGTAAAGGGCTTCATGCCTTACCAAGTTTGTCTTATGACTCATAAATAATAGGCTTAACTATTGGGGAACATTTAGACTTAAGCTATAATTGCAATATAATATTATTATGGCTCTGAAAATCCCCCCCCCCCAACCACCCCCCACCACCAAAAAAAAAAAAAAAAAAACTTGGCTGAGAGTTTTGGTGTTCCAAGTCTAATTTTCTGGAGACAAATTAGATTGCAAATACTACGCAGAGATTTTGCAGGGACTTTATGATTAAGTTTTAGATTTCCATAGGTGCAAGCCCATATAATTAGGTTTTCATGGGTGCAAGCCCCAATTATTAATTACTTCTTCTAGTGATGATAATGAACTTTCAAGTAAAGCTAGTTATTAATTATGTGCTTAACGTATAGTAGCAGTAAATTTGATCTAGGATTAGGAAATTTATCAGTTTAAACTTAAAAGTGTATGGTGGAGAAATGATGACAAACTTGAACAAAATCCCAAAGTTTTGTCATCCCAGTTATTATGGTCCCTTGTATTCTTAATCAATGGAGATGGTTGACCCATCATAATCGAATGATCCTTGTTGGTAGCCATTTGTTATTTCATCCAATGAGATCTTGTAAACATGGGGTGAATGCTTTTTTAAAAGTATGAAATTAAGTCGAAATAAGTTAACAGAGGGCTTTAGGCCCTATCAAGTGCACTTATGATTCAGTACTCAAGTATTTTTTTAACCAGAGATCTTGTAGACTCTAGTTGTCGTTTCAATTTAATGGTATTATTATGCGACAAAATCACTCGAACAGAGGACCTCAATTATAATTGTTTATCTATGGTGTCATTTGATGAGAGAACCACTTGTTTGAACATACCTACTATTTCTTTATTGGTGAGAGATCAATTGAGGTAATAATAGCAATACGCTTGATAAGATATTGGCTCTTCTGAGATTATTCTTAAATTGATCACCCTCAATAAATTGTTGCATAGGATTTATAGATTTTTTTTGTTCAAGTTTGTTGGTGATAAATTAATTTGAATTTTGAATTTGTTAGGGGCATGCCGCTCATATTGATTGAGACAAGATTGTAGGACAACTCCATGCTCATTTTTAGGCCTAAATTACAACGCAATGCCCAATCTATTAGACATGCAAGGGGATTACACGAGGCATCGATTGTACTAGAGGTTTAAACAATGTTTTAAAAACTAGATCGGATCGGTCGGTCCGACCAGTTCAACCGTGAACCGGTCTTATGGCCGGTCCGGTTCATCCTAAGAACCGCTTCTGTATCAAGCCGACCATAACCGGACAAAACTGCCGGTTCAACCGGAAATCGTTGAGCCAGTCATGGTTCTCTTGAACCGGCCTGTTCAACTTTTCCATTTTTTTGAATATTTAAATAAAATTTTTAAAAATATTAAGTAATATTTATAATTTAATTTTAAATATAAAATGCTTAATTTTAAATTAAAAGATTCCAACTAAGCATTTCACAGAGTTTCATCACTTTACATGAGGTACTACTTCATTCTAGCTCAAAAGTCATTATAAAGTAAAAGCATTACCAAGAGAAAGTTTCCCAAGTGATGTGGGACTAAAAAAGCTAAAGCTCTAATTTCTTACTTCTTAACTCTTAAATTTACAACCCACACCATCCATTTTAAAATAGATTTTTTAAATAAACATTTTATAATGTAAATAATGTTTATTTTTAATTAATAATATTAAATAAATTATATTCCTCATTTATTTTTCTATATCCTATAAAAATTATTTATTTATTTATTTATAATAAATGATCTAATCTAAATGTAAAAAGATTGCGTAAACATAAAATCATAAATTTTTTATATACTAATAAGTAAATAATATAAAACATAAAAAAACATAAGATATGAAGTGAAATTAAAATATTCCAATAATTAGACAACATGAAATATAGTTCAACTAAAACTTTCATCTTTCCCAAATCCCAGTATTCTTTTCATTAACATATAATTCCAATTTCTAAAAACAAATAGCAATGACATATCACATAAGAACTCATAAGTCATCAACACTGTCATCACTAAGGGGTTCTTCATTTGAATCATCATTATGATGAACTGCTCTCTCCCCTTCCTCCTCTCCTATAGAGTCCAATGTCGGGCATTTACTTCAAGATTTATGTAAGTTAGAATATCTATAGCATGAGGCGTAAGCCTCATGCCAGTGAGGCGAGGCGGGCCTCAACCAAATTGAGGCGCAAGCCTCATAAAAAAAACTCGAGGCGTAAGCATCGAGGCGTTTTTTACTGGAATTGCGCAAATGCGGGCCTGAAGGTGGGCCTTATATTGTGCAATTTTAAAACCATGATTACGACATCCGGTTCGACTGGTCAAACTGAACGAACCGTGAACCGCTCATTCTACCGGTTCATTGTCTGATCCGATTTTTACAACATTGGGTTTAAATGAGCCAAGTCGGCTGATGAGTCCAGCTTATCAAGCCACGAGTTCAAGCTCGAGAGCTCGTCTATTAAATGAGCTTGAGTTGCTTGGCTCGTAAGCTCATGAGTCGGTTCGTTATAAGATAATTGATTTATTTTTTAATTTATTTTTTTTTCTCTAAACAAAAAAAGTTTAGAAACACAAAAGAAAATAAATAATGTTTGTAAAAAAAAATACAACTTTTCCAAAAAAAAAAAATTGTATAGTTGGATTTGAAAAAAAAAAATAAAAAGGTTGCCAAGCATTAATAACTGTAGTGAAGTGCCCATTTTTTTATGAAAATAAACTGAAACATTAAATAAGGGAAAAACTATTATTATTGCCATATATATATAACAAAACTATTTCCCCTTTTCTGACACAACTTCCCTGCCCATGTCCTCCGACGCCGATTAGCGATCTTCCTCTTCGATGGGATCTCAAGACCTACTTGTGAGCTCATTTTTATTACCACGAGCCGAGCTCGAGCTCACCTTTTGAGCTTGACTTAAGTTCAAGATTATGCTTTGGCCAGCGAGTCGAGCTTTTGTTAGGCATGACTTGAGCTTGACTTGTCTCGTTTATACCCCTATGTTGTACAGGTCACTCCCTATGCTTGAATATATTAAAGAGAACCTCATAATGGATTTTATTTTGGTTTAGCTTATACAAAGCAAGGGGCCAACTCCATTATGGTTATATTCGAGTGATTCTTAGAAATGATGCATTTCATACCTGTAACACCCCATGTTATCCCTTACTAGTAATATAGAGTGTCACAGAAATAACATCACATTCATTCTTTCCTTTTAATTATTCTCATCACTTGAATACTTATATAAAACATTCATTGATAATCACATTTTTATAATAAATAGAAGCGTTTAATATAACCAAAGTTCATCACATAAATTTTTACAAAGCTACTAAGAAAATTCAAAATATTACAACACTGAACAGTCTATATACCTCAGATGTAGACTCACATACAATATTAAACATTAGAACATAAGTAAAATAAACTTGAACAGTTGAACCTATTCTGCTTCAACTCTTTCTCTTCATTTTCCTGTAACAACAACCAGTAAAAATAACTTGTGAGCTATGAGGCTCAATAAGTTATGTAATTTACATAAAAATTAAATACCAAATTAAAAAGAATAACATAATTGAATTAACTCAAAAATATTTGCAAAACAACATATAATCATTTTTAATGAAATCCTTTCATTTATTTGATGTATGTACCACCAATCTTTAAAGATTTGGCTAAATTTTATAAAAATATTCAATGGAGTCTTGGTAAACCTGACATTATCGCTATTGAACTAATAGAGGTTCATTTTGTATCTTTAGGGTCCTTTTTATCCCACCTGCTACACATGTATCATAACTCTGTGGCACCTTTTGTCCCACCTACAATGCAGGTATCAAATCTCCGATGTCCTTTTT